CATCATTATGTTAAGCCCGCCCGCCGACTCTATACACGATGTGATTGGCCTGACTAGAGTTTGGTTTTTCAAGCTCGAAAGTCAACGGAGAGTTGCTAGACTACACTGGCTGCAAAATAATTTTTGCAGCCGCTAGGGGGAGTCTAGATTTCTAGGCTAGAGGATCTATGACCTCTGGAAGCATCTCTTTCAATAGCTAAGTCTGTATAGGGTCTAAGATACATGTTGTCGATTTAGATGATTTGATGATTAGATGAAAATTCTTCCTCTCCTATAGCAATGAATGAATCGAATTTTTCCTCAGGGAGACTACAATGCACTGTCTGATGAAAAAAACACATAATTGTACATGCGGGAAATTAATGTGGGAAAAAATAAATACTCTGAACCCTGAGCAGGTTAACACAAAGTGTGAAAGACAAAAAGTGTTATGTTGTGCCCCGCTCTCCCCTACATAGATACAAAGTTTCAACAGTTTTTAGAAACACACACATAGTATGAGCAAAGTTCTTATTAAGTACTTTACATAATGTCGTTTGTCACAGAAACGATACTGACCATGCTGAAAATAATCAATCATAATCATGACAAATATTAGAGAAAAATAAGGCAATATTATCTATGCCAACATCTTGCGCATCAAAACAAACATTTCCTTCCATTACATTAACAGGCTTGATAGCCCTTCAAGCCCCGCCCATTAGATCCAGCGAGGTGGAGGTCTAGCTCCTCCCATTTAATTCAGTCAATGGCAGAAAAAGAGTAGGTCTAGGCCAGAGCCATTAGAGAGAAAGAGTTGCGACACGCTTTGATGTCGCCGCGACGGCTGTCACGTGGTTCATGTAAGCCCCATTAGTTCCAAAACGTACGCAGACTGTCATGTTCTTCTATGGACAGACAGCAGCGATTGGATTATTAAACGGTAAATATAAAATAAAACACACACCCAAGTACTTTTTAAGCTGTTATTGCATTTTGTTAATGTCAGTTTTGCATTTGGAGAGGTAGGGTGACAACTTAGATAAGTTTTAGGCTATTTTTTTGGAGGGAAAAGCTTAGTGTTCATGTTCGCATGGGTAGTACGTTAGCACTGGCTTTAGCGGCTCTAACTTAACTTTTCCATGTCATTCATCTGATGATGGACGTCTCATGATATTTATTTTAGCACAACTGGGCTGTATTAGGCTATTGATTCCCGTGATCTTGCTTATAAATTCCGATTCAGCCATTAGCCTACCTTCGTGATCACGCAAAGAGGTCTGCAGTCCGTTCAGAACTCCAACCAGGGCTGGACTGGGACAAAAAATCGGCCCGGGCATTTTGGCCCAGACTGGCCCACTATATAACACAACCGAACTTTGCACGCCCTTGAATATGTATACCAACTCCTATTACAACCACTAATGCCATAAGTGAATAGGAGTGAGTAAGAGTTAACCGATGAAATAACTACTAAGTTAAACTATACCCAACAGTGATGAATCCTAAAGAAAGCTATAAGCTGGGATAGCAATACGGGTTTTTCCCACAGGTTTTTGAAAATTTTGTGCTTTTTAATGTGTTAAATTCATCAATCTGGTGCACTTTGAGAGTTAAAAATAAAGAGCTCCAACCCATATTCAGTGTGCAAATTGAACAAAGAAAAACTCAAAACTCTTTTAGTTGTGATATAGTGTCTGTCTACATTATACTACTACATAATAATAGTTATAATATTAATCCCATGGCAGTAATAGCCATATGTTGTAAAACAAATGCACTGAAAAATAAAAGGAACTTTCATAATTAGTTTCGTACTAATTTCTATACAGAGATAAGCACATGATCTTTTATTTTGACGGAAACGGCATCGAGCTTTTATTTTGAAGAAAAATATGGTTTACAAACTCATTACTCATTATTGTCTCATTACAATTCTAATAAAATGCGTAATCGTCAAATATGCAGATGTGTAAATAATGCGTAACTGGGTAGTGGGTTCCTACGTGTGTTCACACCGAACGCGAATTTAATTATTTGGGCGAGTAGATTACATACAAAGTCAATGCAAAGACGCGAATAGACGCATCATTCGCGCCGGGCGTTGCGAATGACGCGAATTGGGCGACGCGTTTGCCGCGAATGTCTTCCGCGCAAGTTGAAAAATTTGAACTCGAGCGAATGTTCAAGCGTCTAAGGGCCGTTACATAGTCAACGCGAGCAAGCAACGCGAGTGACGCGAGCTACACGCTCCTTTTCATAGTATGCAAGCAGACGCAAGCGTCACCGGCGATGCGTGAAATGCAATACACCGATCGCGCAACAGAGGGTAGTAGAGTCTAGAGTCGGGTCACGTGATATTCAGATCAAAATGGCAACTGAAGAGGAGTGCATATTGCTGATTTTACATCGGCGGTCACAAAGGATGTATACGAACAAGCTCGCATAACTTTTCCTCTTCGCCCGCCATTGTATTCAAATCTTCTTCTTCTGTAAACATAATAATATACCTTTTTATGTACATTACTTGCAATGTCGCCCCCACCGACAACGCATAGTATTGCGCGCATCGGCGCGTCGCGTATCAAAAACTAGGATGACACATTTGGCTACGCATCGACGCATAATGGCGGCCGAAGCGTAGCGATGTGTAGCCTTGTGCACGCGTATGCGTACCGATGCGTTGACTATGTAAGGGCCCTAACTAAACGCGATAGACGCGTATTTGACGCTCTATTCGCGTTCGGTGTGAACACACTATACGTGTTGTGACAGTATAGCCTGGTTCTGCTTACCACAGTTCTCTGCACTCACTCATCTCTCTCCTTATCCTCCTCACTATCCTCATCAGACACTTGAAGGGCCTTTGAAGTTTCTTTTTTCACGCTATTTCTCTGCACATTCCTTGAGTTTCTTCTCCATCGCTCTGACTATTTTGACAGATACACACTGACACTGCTCGCTCACTCAGAGCTCAAAGGGGGAGGAGTTTAAAGATGTGATTGGACCAGCCCAGTGTCAATCAAGAAAATAACCAATGGGCTGCTGATTTACGCGTTTCATCATGCGCCGGTCTGTGAGAAAAAGAAAAACCTACGCTGACTTTTTTGTCCAATACATTACACCGGCATAAAGATCCCAGAGCCGCCATTTAAACAAAACTAAACGCAATGGGCCGCCGATGTACGAGTTTTATGGGCCGTTCAGACAAAAAAAAAAAAATTAAGTATGAGATGTATCGGCCCACAAAGCACGTCGGCCCACCGGGCAAATGCCCGGTATGCCCGATGGCCATTCCAGCCCTGACTCCAACCAACACAAAATATAAATAATTACGCTGTGCATGTACAAATGAATGATTTAGGAGGGAAATAGACTGCTCCCATAACGTAGAAAGCAACGACTATATACAGCAATGTTCGGTAAATATTCAACCGAAAAATATTCTTCATAAAATTAAACCGGAGAGATAGTTAATGAGTGAATTAACTATGTTCCTAAATACATATAAGCACATGCATAACCCTCCCTAACCCATTTAAATAAATGAATTGTGTGTGTGTGTGTGTGTGTGTGTATAATATTATATATAGGTTATATATATATATATACATTTAAAATATTATTAAAAATATTATATATTATATACATCAGTTTACCAGTTAGCTAACGTTAGTGAAGTGTTGGTCATGTAAGCTATCGCTGCAATTAATTAGTAAAACTGGCTACATTAAATATAACTACAGACTAGATTCACGAGAGGTCGGCTAATGTGTGTAAAAGTAAAAAAAATACAGTAATTTCATTAATTTACCAGCGAACGTACTTCGGAAGCACTGAAAATGAATGGGGTTCAATGGAGAAACTATCAGAGTTTGGAACTATTGGCCGCTCCACGACACACGTTACTTCCGCATTCCAAAGTTCCTATGGCGGTCTATGGGAGTGTCGCAACTCTTTCTCTCTATGGCTCTGGTCTAGGCTAAGTAGATTTGAAAATTCAGATATAAACACAAAAATTCAGATACTAAGAATTAGGAACATATCTGTTTTATAAGTAGCCTATATTTCTGAGAAGTACATAAAGTAGGCTATATTTATGAGAAATACATAAAAAGTAGACTGAAAGTATATCTTTTTTATAAAGTTTTTCATAAGGAATGCCATGTTAACACAAATTACAAACAAATATGTGTGTGTGTGTGTATATATATATATATATATATATATATATATATATACATATAAAATCTCAGGGAAGGAAGATCAGCAACCGTTTCATAATGCAGGTGTAGCAGATATAAGAGATAAAGGCTGTTCAGTTTGAGAATAATATTGAGAATAATGTTGAGATTGATGACTATGACAAGATGGGATAGGATCAGTCTCTTTGTTGCTAAAAATGATAAATCCCATTATTAATAAATTATTACGTTTTGAGTAGGCTATGGCGGGTTTCTAGTTTTAATCCCATTTTAATCCCAGTAATATCATCACTCCGGAGAGGGAGAGGGGGAGATGACTTTTCACGAGTGATGATATTACTGCGCCGAGTCGAAGTGCTCCCAAGCACTTGATATGGTATTCCGCCATACATTATAGTTATCCACTTTACACACGCTTAGAAAAACGCAACGTTTTATTTTGTGGCACCATTCTTGGTCGAGTTAGACTACTCGTGTAACTGTATTTAAATAGGGAAAACGTGGAGGTGTTTGGTCGCTTGTCTGTTTGGATTCTAATGAATGAACTGGCTAAATTAAGTGCTATCAAAGTGTCTCGCCGCTCGCGCGCCAGAGCGATTGAGTGCACGGACTGAGACGAGAGAGGTGTGTATCAACTCGTCTGAGTTAAGGGAATAACATAGTTTAAAATGAAAAAAACGGTGGAGTATCCATTTAAGCAACGATTTTGCGACCAAGATCTATACTGAGCTACAGACGTCCTTGCATATCAAAACAATCACAGCACATCGTTAAAAAATAACTTTAGTCACACATTCCTAACCTTAGGTAGCCTACCTTCGAAGGGCTGGGCTGAGCTGAGATGCAGTTTCTCGACAATTCAACTGATGAACTAACGCGATATCTTAATATTTTCGCGCGGCACATGTTTCGACAATATAGCCAATAGCCATCAGCAAGCAACTTTCAGTACCTGAACCGATCTCTCACTCTGACAAGATGATGACGCATTTTGTGGGACCGGGAACATGCAGATGAGAACAAAGTGCTATATCGTGACTTCAGGATAAGGCATTTTTGCAGTAGTAGCCAAGTAAATGAGTGCTCTTTTGTGGCTGGTAACTCTCAAACTCAAAGTTGTATTGACTTGTATTATCCCCATTGTGAAATTTTGTTTCAGTGAGTTAATAGACATTCACTGATTCACAACAATCTAGGCTGCACATCACAACTGTAAAAATCAGGTCCATCACCAATAAAATCCACCCAAATTCATCCCTGAGAGACTCCGTTTTACTCTGCACAAACAATACCAAAAACACTTTTATAGTTTTTTAAAAACATTTAAAAACTTTTTTCACCTGTGACAAAAGGGCTTTCCCCGCTATTCCTTTTGTTTCTTTTTCTTGTCATACTGGCATCCGAAAATCTCTGACCTGAAGGTAATAGCTCAAACTATGTGATGTGATCTAAAAAGACATCTGGTTTGGTAGATTTATTTATTCATAAACCTGTCAAGTATGGAGGACCAGATCTACCATATTTAAAAATAAATACAGAAATAAATAAATGCTCAATAAATAAATAAGCATACAATTAATTGCCCCAAAAAATACAATAAACAAATAAAGGTAGAAATTAAATTATACAGTGAGACATAAATGTATATATCTCTTAACCCTTTCATGCATGAATTATGATAACCTCAGTCAGGATTTTTTTCCTATGTGATTTTATTGCTCTTAGGGCATGAAAAACAAGATTTGATTTTTAATTTTTTTTTTTACAAATTTTCCAAAGATATTTTCAGGTGTCCACTTGAGTGGACAGCATGCATTTATGGTTTAAACTGAAGAGATACTATATTAAACATAATACAATAATCAAACAGATAAAGTATGTGTATTTAACAAACTAATCAATACAATTATATCAAATCATGTGAAAACTAAAATATATACAAAAAATATAAATTCGAAATATTGCAAATGCAATTGAACTTCATAGAAGTTGCACTTCGTGTATCTTTGATATCAGAACATGAGGACGTGATTCCATCAGAAATTTCTACAGCCTGTCAATGTACAACAGTGGACACCACTCAGATGCTACCTCCAGTGTGCCAGAGTATGTCAATTTACCTTTATTAGCTGATAATTCTGATTATGTTCATAGGCCTAGCATAGGCCTCTTCTGAGAAAACCTAGCGATACGTATTTTTCAATCTCATCTGAAATTAGCAGTGTTGGGGCATGCATAACGCATTCAGATTACTTTTTTGATGTTACAAGTAAAGTAATGTGTCACAAGTAACGTGCATTACATAATCAGATTTGTTTTAATGTTACGAGTAAAGTAATGTATTACAAGTAACATGTATTACCTAATCAGACTACTTTTTGATCTAACAAGTAAAGTAATTAATTACAAGTAATGTGCATTATGTAATCAGATTACTTTTTGTTGTTACGAGTAAAGTAACGCATTACAAGTAACATGCATTACGTAATCAGATTACTTTTTGGTGTTACGAGTAAAGAAAAGCATTACAATATAGTACATTACGAAATCAGATTACTTTTTGATCTAACAAGTAAAGTAATGCATTACAAGTAACATGCATTACGTAATCAGATTACTTTTTGATGTTACGAGTAAATAAATGCATTACAAGCAACATTCATTGCGTAAACAGATAACTTTTTGATCTAACAAGTAATGCATTACATAATTAGATTACTTTTTTGATGAAATGAGTACCGGTAAAGTAATACATAAGTCACATAAATTATGTAATCACATAACTTTTTTCGATGTCAATGAAATTAACATTCTAATAATACAAATACATTTATTTACAGTAAAAAAACGTCACTGCAGATGAAGTATTTTCAAAAACAATATTCACAGTATAAGTATGAATTGTAGCTGAAATGTAGCCATTGATGCATGAGCAGGGACGGACTGGGGCTAAAAAACAGCCCTGGACTTTCTCCCAAATAGGCCCATCATCCAGCCATTCGCCCCTAGCCACTAGGATGTCCTGATACTATGCCACAATACTGTAACCTATATCAGACAAGGTATTCACAGCAAGTAATATCTCAAAAACAATGATGACAATTGGGGTTTTGTTTATTAATGAAGCCTCAGTCTTCAAATAAAAACAAAAAAAATTTACAATGCCATTACATCTGCATTGAAAATAAAATACAAATAATGAAATGTCACTGGCTACAGAAACCCTAATTACACAAACTTGTAATTATAAAACATTTAGTTACTATATACCAGGGGTCTCCAACCTTTTTGTGTGTGAGGGCTACCTCAAGGGATAAAATAATCTAGAAGGGCTATACTCAAAAATATTTATTATACATATAACATGGTGGTGTTTTTTACCTTACCTTTACTTTTAACTTTAACTTTTTTATTTTTCACCATCATATGCGAAATAATAAAATATCTTGATATTCTGGTTCAACAATTGGTGAAAAATTTGTAATATATATATATATATATATATATATATATATATATATATATATATATATATATATATATATATATATATATATATTATTCTCTAAAAACCTATTGTAGCATAAACATTTAGTATAAATATTTAATGCAAAATAAATAAATAAACTGCCATAACTTCTAAACAAAAACATTACTGCATTACATTTAATAGCCTACATTTATAGGCCTACATGACTATTAATATAACAGCATTTTTAATATGAATACAGGCACATTTCTGCCAAAAAAGTTTGTTTTACTAAGTTACAGTTAATTCATAAGTTGTGGAGTGAAATGTCTTCTAACTGGTTTGTTCTTGGAACAATGTTTCACCTGTTTTTTTGCGTCAAGATGTTGAGAATATCAGCGCTGTTTAATCTGGCTTTTAACTAGCTTAAATCACAGCCATCTGTGGGTTTATAATAGAGATAGAGAATTCTGCGCTGAATTGAAATGCTTCTCAGTGGATCGCGCAACTCTGTGTAATAATGTTCGCGTGATCGAGATCAGTCCGCACAGCTGATTCGGCCGCGATCGCAGTTTTTTTGGGCCGAGCTGATAATGCTCCGCGCTGGCATCCAACTTAAAGGTGCATTGCTGCCACCTACAGTACTGGAGTGTGAAACAGATTAGTGGGGGGGAAAAACAGGTTATGACTGCGTGTGTGGCGGGTGGTGGGCCGGCCCGCCGGCCGTCCTGGAGTACCGGCCGTTCTGTGATACTCCAGATCACACAGATGGCCAGTCCGCCCCTGTGCATGAGGTCCACTTTAGTGGACAGGCGGTTAATCAGATTTTTCTCCCAATCTAAAATCAAAACTTGGAAAATTTTACTGTCATATGACTCATTAGATATTGCTTGATGCTGCAATATTTTTTTTACCTACAAGAGTCTCCTAGGATAGAAGGAATGGGTGGATATTCCGGAGCAACTTGGCATGACTGACCATTGGCCATCTTGGTTTGAAGGGGGAAAAACTCGAAACACAACGGCTTGCAACTTGGTTGCAATGTATAGGATGATCCACCAGGGTCCACTGAAGAGATTGATGTGCAACTTTGCCATCAAAACCCTTGCAAATTCAAGAAAATGCTTTTTTAATAGCTGTCCACTGTAGTGACCACTATGCATGAAAGGGTTAATTAGCTTCTTTATTTATTCACCTTTGTAACAATTACCTTATTTATTTATGTGCATGTTATAATATTTTTGTCTGTTTTATTCTTCCTTTGTATTTTTTTACCCTATTTATTTCTTCAATGCTATTTATTTCTGCCTGTCGTTTTTACATTTCTGTATGCATTTCTGCCTCATTATGCAAATGAGGAGGGGCTGTCTTAGGGGGTCAACTTCTGCCCATTGGTTAGTTAGCATTTTACTGCATCGGTCGAATCTACATGCCACCGGCCACAGGTTCCACACCACTAATACTCGAACTGGAAGCTGTTTATGTAAAAGTAAAGTAAAAGTTAAAAAAATGTTCAAAGGACCACAGAAAAACATTTCAGATCTCAAACTTACAGCGTTCATTCTTCCAGTCTATTAGCAGCTTCCCTTAAGAGGTCGGACACTGAACGTCTGCCTGCTGAGTTTGACATTACTAAACAATGCTGCTTCTTCTTTTTCTTCTTCTTTGGATTTTTACGGCAGCTGGCATCCAATGAGTAGTATGGAGGACCAGCTCTACCATATTTAAAAATAAATACAGAAATAAATAAATGCTCAATAAATAAATAAGCATACAAAAATTGCCCCAAAAAATACAATAAACAAAGAAATGTAGGTAGAAATTAAATTATACAGTGAGACATAAATGTATATATCTCTTTTAATTAGCTTCTTTATTTATTCATCTTTGTAATAATTACCTTATTTATTTATTTATTGTCCGTTATAATCTTCAACTTTATTTATTAATTACTTTTTTTTTTAAAGTATTTATTTATGTGCATGTTATAATATTTTTGTCTGTTTTATTCTTCCTTTGTATTTTTTTTTACCCTATTTAATTCTTCAATGCTATTTATTTCTGCCTGTCGTTTTTACATTTCTGTATGCATTTCTGCCTCATTATGCAAAATGAGGAGGGGCTGTGTCTTAAGGGGTCAACTTCTGCCCATTGGTTGATGTGGAGTTAACTATCTTCTAGTCATTAGGCTTGTTTGAGATTAGCCAAATCTGCGCAGAACCGATCACTGTGATCAGCGCGAGATGCATGTGTGATTTAGTGGATTTTATGTAGCCTATATAGTGTCTCTTTTGAAATGCATTATAGAATTAGTAAATGTTATTTTTTATAATATTGTTTATTGCTTAAATGCTTATTTGTCCTTTGTTAAAAAAAGAAGAGTGTTATGTTCATTTATTAAATTAATTAT